GCAAGGGGGATCTTCTTGCTGAAGAAATTGAGGCCCAAGTGAGGCCAGGACTCATTTGAGGCCGTACAGTTGAGTTTTGAACAAGGTGTTTCTCACTCCAGAGCCCACACTTTAACCGTAAGCCACGGGGACACCATCAGACAGGACTGACACACCAATATGTGCTTGGCCCACCGCCCGCAGGCCAGACCCAGCTCAGAGCTTGTTTTATGACTAGAGTTTTGCCGGCACACAACACTCAGGCCTTGTCTGTAGCTGCTTTTGCAGGGTCACAGCAGAGATAAGTATTTGTGGAACGGCTGTATACATGCGAAGCCTAAGGTTTACTATCAGGCTTTTTACAGGAAAGGTTTGCCAGTCCCTGCCATGAGAGAGGCAGGTCATGGAGTGGCCTGTCTTAGGGCGATGAGACTGGCGCCTGAGTGCAGAGAGTATTTGGTAGCACGACTTTTCCTTCCAAAGAAAGTGAAATTTTTCATTTTCTCTTCATATTCTCAACCAGTCACCCCAGGATTGTTCTAAAAACACACTATAGTGTCTGCCTTCTAGAATTTATAAAGAAAACAGTGAAGTTTCAGAAAATGTTTATTCATTTAAGTGTATGTGGTTCTGTTTCACGAAGAAATCACTTTATTTTGATGGGTCAGATTATATGGTCATTTTTAACTTCTCAGCCTTTCTTGGAGATACTAAGGATGCTAAAGCAACATGCAGAGGACAAGGGAGGAAGGGGGATCTTTCTGAGGAGGTCTGAACTGAATGTGCTTGGGATGCTTCCAGGGCACCAGCAGCTTCAGACAGCCACCAGGAGCTAGGGCAGTGAAGCATCCTGGGGGTGTAAGCAGTCTCCCCTTAGTCCCCTGAGCCCAGAGTGTCTGAACACTTGACTGTTATGGACCTTGGACAGAGCAGCAACCTATGAGGAGAGACATAGCAAGGCCCACCCTCACCCTGCCTCTGCAGACTCTCCTGCGTCAGCACCATAGGCTCTGTGGCACCAGCAGCCTTTGTGGCGGGGACTAGACTCTCATTTCCTATCAGACTCTGATTCCATTAGGAAAAACCCCACCCTAGCTTACCCCAGGGCTTTAGGCTCAATTTGGAGAGCTCTACTTCCAGTATCTTTCCCCTACTTTTGTAACCTCTGTCACAGCTGTAATCCGCAGCAAATGGATTTCCTGACCCTCGGGACAGAGCCTCGAGTTCCCTAGACTTGGTGGCTCCTGGGAGGGCAAAGCCATCAGCGTTTCTCCAGCTGCTGGTCTCAGGCCCTGTGGACAACAGAAACCTGTAATAAGATCACTATCCCAGCCATTACAGTCAAGCACATCACTCAAAGTGGTCCCTTGCGGTTGGGAGGAGAGAATTGACTAAAGTAGGATCGCAGCCTTCAGAGCCTGGCCTCCCACAAAACCACACAGTGAATTAGAACTCAGAGAAAACCAGACTTCCAGTTCTGGATGTTAGCCATTAATCAGATTTGGCTACAATTCACAGTGGAGTCTACAGGGATGCGTGGCCTTGGGGAAGAAATAAGGAACTAGTTAGAAAGAGGAGAAGGGAGGAATACGAGTAGGAATTAAAAGGAAATTGAAGAGGAGTGTGTAAAATGCTTAAAGCCTACATACTATGAAAATCTAAGGGTTCTTGTTTTCTAATGAGGGACCCCAGGGTTTGGGGCATAATGCGAGTCCAAAGATACCTCAGTAGCCCTCACTGAGAGGTCAGAACATCTTTCCTTTACAGACCAGGGCTTTGTGGCAGAAGGAAGGGGGGAGTGGTCGGGCACGGAAAGTTTAATTCAAGGAAGAGAGAGCCTCTCTGAATTTGGAAGTCACTGTATTGGTCCATGCTTCCTAATTAATTTCTTTCTAACCCAGGTTACCTTCCACTAGGACACCAATGAGAAGGTGACATAATATAGGGCATTAGCTGCTGATTTCTCCAACCCTCTGGTTGAGTAAAACCAGTAGGTTTTCTGGGGGTGCCTTCCATGTCTGTGTTAGACAGGAGAGACAAAGGAGCCTTATCTCCTTGAGTGACTCACATTCCCCCCAAACTGGGGCTCGGTTTTTACATAGGAAAAACAAAGGAGATTTTGGTAATATTTGGTCTCTTCAGCTGGTGTTGAATTCACATGCATGTGTAATGTATACATTACATAGAGTGACTTAAGCATAAAATATTTAATAGACATTAATTAATAATTAGGGAATTATTCAATGATCTCAGTTCCTTTCCACTTCTGAAAATCTGGTAGGTACACTCTGTTATGAACTTTTGCCCCAGGTCATTGAGTAATGGCTGCAGGTAAAATGAAGGATGTCACATGGGACGAGCTCTAGCTTGGAGGCAGACCTGGCTTGGAATCCTCCTTCTGTGATGACCATAGATAAGTTACTTAGATAAGTCCTCATTGACAAAATTAGGACAGTATCTATCCTATATAGGACGTCATGACTAGAAATGAAGCATCTACCACACGTACTTGACATACAGTAGATACTCAACAATCACTATTATTAGTATAGATGCCACTGATGGACAGTACTGAAATTAAATCACCAGTCATGTATGTTTAAAGTAGTTGGGGAAAATTCTTCTGATGAGGCAGAAATTAAGCTTTCAGATGAGAAGTAGGATGGAGCTTGATGCATATCAAACAATTCTGTTTAACAAATACTTATGGAGTACGACATGTGTGTGTGTTTGTGTGTGTGTGTGCATGTATATATATGGGCAAATACAAAGTGATTGCTGTTTTCCAGAAATTCAGAATCCAGTGGGGAAGGTAGACACATAAGCACATCACCCCACATAGGTTATTATTTATTACCTGAGGCCCTACAGCAGTAACAGTGGAGCTGGTGTTGCCAAAGCTGGTATTACCTGACACCTAAGTCCATGTTCTTCCTGTTAGCACATTGACGCTCCTAGGAAAACTGAGCCACCAGAGGAGGCCCAGAGGGAAGGGTTGGGATCTGTTTACTCAGCAGCAGCCTGTCTCAGTATTCAGAAAGCCTAGAGTAAGCTTCCTCCCCCTTCCTTCCATCGCTTGCACACTTTCCTTAACACCTCTCTCTTCTGGACACTAGCAAGTGTCTTGCTCACGCATTTGTAACTTGGCATGTGGGAGGTAATATTTTTATCTTAAGATTTGTACTTTATGCCCAATCCCTACCGGGTTTACCAGAGTTTTTTTTTTTTAATTTATTAAGTTCTAATTTATTTTTTTAATGAAGTAATTTTTTTTTGTATATTTCAGTTTGTTTTTCTTTTTTTTTTAACTTTTAAAATTTTTAGTCCAGAGTTTTTGGATAGGTTTCAAAGGAGTCATTAACCTCATCATTGCACACATTTTTGTATATGTCTGCATTTTTTTCCTGGGGCATGGGATTTTAGGTTTGGCCATCTCTGGTCTGCCTCCAACACTTAAGAACTTTAAAATGAAGAGTCGCGTCATCTACCTTTTCCCGCTGCTGGTACTCAGCAAGGTTACCCTGCATGTTGTGGATATTCAGACTGTGGGGAAACAAGGAACTTAGTGATTCCTAGGTACAAACTAGAAACTATGGAAAGATTCTAGGGGTGGTTGACAAGGAGTGGAAAGTGGGGCGGGGCATCTTTGTTCTATGAAAGCAGGGGAGCTGTGGGTTCAGGGGATTCAATTGTTACTCCTCTTTTGAAGTGTTCCCTAAGAGTCTGTGCTTACCTCCTCTGTGTTTTTCATGCACAATTGAGGGAAGCCAGAGAAGGTGCTTGAGAGCCATCAAAAGCATGAACTGGAACAGAGCAAGCATGCCAGGGCGATAGGGTGGGGGAATCACGATCTGGAGAGTAGGAGGGTGGCATCAATGAAAGAGAGGGTAGGCGTGAGCAGACTGGGGAAGGAGATCCTCAGCAGGAGACTGCAGTGAGGAGAGAGAGCTGGAGCGTGAGGCTAGGAGTGAGGACAAAGTGAGCCTGATGCGGAGGGAGGTCAGTCAAGGACAAGCGAGCTGGGCTAGGAGCATGTGGGAAGATGCGCTGAGGAGAGAGTTAGGGTCCAGAAGGGAGCTCGGGAGAGAGGAGAGTGAGCACACACACATGTGCAAGGGCAGCCAGAGCCAAAGCACAATGGCAGTGAGTGTGAGCACCCAGGAGGGTGCATCTGGACCCTGTAAGAGCAGTGGTGAAAGGGGGGTGAGCATGAGCACAGGCGGAGAGGCTAGGAACAAGGGTGCAGCCCCCAAAATGGGAAGACCATTATAAATATGACAGAAAAGGCAAAGAGGTGGGGTGGGGAAACAGAAGGCCGGAATGAGAGGGAAAAGAGAGAGCAAGCTTGGCAGCGGGCGGAGGGAGAGAGTTCGGGAATAGCGTGACAGGAGAAAGAGGAACTTGAACTCAGATTTGGGCATGTCTTTCCCATAACCCCCCCTTCTCTCCTTCCTGCCATCCTCCCTCTCTCCTGCGCCTCCTTCCCAGCCCCTCTCCACTCCCCCAACACATTGCCTCAGTGAGCTCTGCGATTGCCAGTTCTGAACCCTAATCATGGTCTGGCCCTGGAGGAATTCCTGGCAGGCTTTAATGACCGGGATGGAAGGTCCCAAGAGGCTCTGCCAGTTCTGTGCTGGAAGAGGATTGATCTGCAGGAGCCGGACAGTGAGAACCAGGCTGGGGACAGTTTTAATGAGCCCAAAGCCAGTGCTCGTGGATCATTTGGTACACGCTTGACACTCTGCTAAGCATCATTGTCTTAGTCTGTCTTCCCGACAGCCCATGCGCTCTTTCACCTGCCAGATTAAGAGACAGAAGGTTAGAGGAGTGTGACCTGCCAAGCTTTCCCAGCTAGTCAGTGGCAGCGCCAGGGCGCAAATCCAAGTCTTTCTGATTCCAAAGCTTGTAATTTCCACCAAATTGCTCAATGTACTGCCCTGCTCAACTTGAGATTGGAGGGCAGTCGCTAAGTACTTCATAAAGAAAACAACACTGCAGACACACTCAGAGCTCTTCTGGCTTTGAAAACAAAACAGGCACTTCTGTTTATTTTATTTCTTCATTTGCATCTTTCTCTCATTCTGTTCCCTCCAGATTTTTAATCCCATTTCTCTCTCTGAGTGTATAAATATAGACAATAAGTTCTCTGATGTTCGGCTTCTCCATCCCAAAGATGTAGAAGTTGATAGGGTAGAGCTCTTCCAGGTAGACCATTGTGAGAAATCTGCCTCCTTTACTGATATTAACTCCTGGCGGAACAAGCAGGTCATAGACTTTAGAATCAGTATGATATGATCTCAAATTTTGCCTTGTGAACCAAGCCTGGCCCTGTCATCCTCCCGGCAAGCCTGTCCCAGGACCCGGTTTTACCCAGGACTCCGCTACAGGATGACGAAGAGCTGATGCATATGTATGAGCACCCCAGTGAGTGTGTGACACTTCACCCTGTCTCTTCCCTCCCAGCATCCGCCTGCTTTTCCGCCATCTGCGTGCCCTGACGGTGCCATCCGATAGGCCATGGAGAATGAGCTGCCAGTCCCCCCTACATCTAGCAGTGCCAGTGTCTCCAGCAGTAGCAGTGGGGTTGGTAGCAGCAGCGGCTGCAGCAACAGCAGCGGTGGGAGCAGCCGCCCCCCGGGACCCCAGATCTCTGTGTACAGCGGCATTCCTGACCGGCAGACGGTGCAGGTAAGATTCCAGAGGATCCGGGACTGCAGTCCTTAATCACCTGCAGGCTAACCGGGAGCACCTGTGAGCCTGGGCTGGTGGAATAACTGAGGGGTTGGATTAGAAAGGGTGTAGGGGGGTGGGTTAGTGGACATGTGTTTGCAGGAGTGTTGCCAGTGGGTCCAATCAGGAAGTTTGGAGAGATCAGGAGAATTCCTGATCCTTACCTAGTGATCCAGATCCCAGCATGATGGAGGACAGGTGTGTGAACGTGTAAGAGGCAGGCAAGAGAAGTGATGGGAGCTGCTCGCCGCAGCCCAGACCCACTGCGTAAACAGCCATCGTCCTGTAACAAGTTTCCCAAGACAGAGGGCCCAAAAGGAAGCCCCCAAAATCCTGTGTCTCTGTGGCCTTTTACCTTCTTCCCTAAAGCTGTGGTCCATGGAGTGCCCTCCATGAGGCCCCCTGCTGCTCCCACACCCAGTGTGGAGCTGGCTCCCCCGCCCCCGCGAGAATGGTTATTAGGCGCAGTTCTGTAATTCAGGAAACAGGGACTCAGATGGTCATTCAGGGAAAGACAAAAAACCTAAGCCTAATTCTCCCACCATCCGGTGTTCTTACTCACCAGTGTCTGAGGTGCCCAGATAAGACAGGCAGAAAGGAGGGACCGCAGTGGACAAGTGTTTACCCTGAGTAACTTCGCTGTTACAGCTTCGCTGGGCTAGACAAGTGACCTCATGCCTTGGCCCCGGGCCCAGATTAGGGAGCAGAGGAGAAGCCACAGCAGACTGAAAAATCTAGTTAAAGAGGACACCATCAGATGCTGTGGCATCTTCTCTCTCCCAGTTCTCTCTGCCTTACACTTCATAAAATGGTGTTTCCTGTGCCTGCCTTCCCCTGCCCTCACCCCGCCTCTTCCCTTGGTGCTTTGCCACCATCCCAGGCCAGGTAGGTTCACCATTGGTTCCATGCTCCAGGCATTCACAACCAGGCACTCTGCCCCTCACCCACGCGCCCAAGCACCATGCACTAACACTATCAAGGCCGCAGGTGATGGCCACGGAGGCCAGTGGCATAGAGCCTGATTCATTCACTTTCCCTACACCTGGCTTCTTGGCACGTCCCCAGGAGCCAACATTAGAATGTACCCTCCTCCTCCCCCCAGCACAGCTGCAGGCAAACAAGACTGAGGGGCTCTGCTCTGGGAAATGGAGCGCCCCAGGCTGCGTTCTGCACCAGGCAAACCGCCCCGGGCACCTCCCGTTTCCACACGTTGCTGTCCTCTAGTAAGAAGGAGTTTCAATGTCTCAACTCCGGCTGCCTGGACTGCCAGGGGCCTTGGAGGAGTCTAAGATAGAGAGGCCTACATAGAGGAAGAAGAAAGGATGGGGTGGGGAGGGGGGCAAGGGAGAAAGGTAAGTTCATATAAGCCAGGCCCCCGCCGCGGAGGGTACACTGGAGGAAGGGTGTGGAAGAGTGAGTCGGGGTGGGGTTTTCTAGGGATACCCAGGAGCCTATAGAGAACCTGTGATATGAGCCTGTTTTCACAGAACCTCAAATCTGAGCCCAGAGGTTATTCTGTCCTCGAGTCACCAGCCCTAGAAACCACGCCAAGCCCGAGAGACAGGCTGGAGGCTTGCTTGTTAGGGCCAGGACCCAGGATGAGGACCAGCCTGTGGCCAGGGATCCCCAGAGCTAAGGGTAGGAGTGGGTCAAAGCCTTAGTAGGGCCCAGGCAGGGTGTCAAATGGGAAGAGAGGGCAGGAGAGTGGCCAGCGGAGAGGGGAGAGGAGCCCCTCCAGGACCTGAGGGCTGGGGAAGGCCTTCACTGTGCTTTGGTGCTGTGGTGGAGGGGGAGCTCTGAGGGGCTGAGAGTACAGAGTGGGGGGAGATCAACACAGAGCGTATGTCACCTCCCGGAGGCTGAGACTCACCAGCCAGTCCCTCAGGAGAGAGGGGAGAGCAGTAAGCCCAGGAAGTGGTGCTCAAAAGAGAGGGAGGATCAAGAGAACGTGGCATCACTATGGTGTTGGCTCACTCTGCAAGGCCCAGGCGACCTCTTCGAGGGACTGATGGGACTTCCCAGGCAGCTGGGGACAGAACCTGGGCAGCAGCACCCAGCCTGCCTTGGGGCTGCAGCCGAGACGGTGTCGCCTGTGGATGAGTCCTTCTGCTGGCTGCACTGCAAACAGGAACAGGCCCCGCTTCCAGCTCGCCTGTCTTCCCACCACTTTCCTTGTAGCTGATGTCTTGAGCTTCAGTACTCTCTGTTGTGGTCCCCCATGTCCCTCTCACTGGCCTCTGAGCTGAGGAGTATTGGGGGATGGGAAGCTGCAAGGGCCTGGCCCAGGGCACAGTGTCACGGGGGCTTCAGAGTTTTTGTCTCCCCGGCCTCCGCCAGGGTGGGCTGGAGCAAGGGATGCTGCTTTGCCTCTCCCCATGGAGGCGCTGGCACCGGAGCAAACCTTGCAGGGAGGCCAGGGGAGAGCTGCAGGACAGACTGGGCAGACATGTCCAGAGCTCTGCCAAGAGTTGCCTCCCCGCCCTGGGGGAAGGTGGCTGAGGACAGGGCGAGCCATCGGGGAGAGGGGCGGACAGGCACGTGGCCGCAGGTGGGCTGTGTGGCCGGTGAACAGCCCTCTCCTTCCGCGCCTCAGGTGATCCAGCAGGCCCTGCACAGGCAGCCCAGCACAGCAGCGCAGTACCTGCAGCAGATGTACGCGGCCCAGCAGCAGCACCTCATGCTGCAGACCGCAGCGCTACAGCAGCAGCACCTGAGCAGCGCGCAGCTCCAGAGTCTGGCGGCTGTGCAGCAGGTGAGAGCCGTGAACAGTGGGGTAGGGGGAGGGCAGGCACATGCGGGTCTCTCCCAGAAGCCCCACATGCACCCCTGCCATCTGTCTTTAAACCTGGCCCACAGTCCCCTAGCTCGCAGCAGCTGCCCTCTCCACCCTCCTCACCGTGGCTGCAGCTGGGGGGCTGCTGGGAGGCCAAGGCAGTGGTGGCCAGAGAAGGCTGTCGCCCTCTCGTCGGTCTGTCGTTAGTAACGGAAAATGCGTCCATTCATTCAACAAAATGTTTAGGTGCCTCTGTACCCCAGAGTGACTCATGTTGGCACTGAGTTCTCCGTGCACCCTGTCATTCTGGACTTGCAGAGAGGCCCAGCGTGGCCGGTCGGGGAGGGTCGAGCTGCTGGACTCCCGGTGGAGCTGGCAGAAGGATGAGCAGAAGCTGGGCGGGGGGAGGGCAGGCTGGGCCTTCCAGACACCGTGCACAGCTCGGGGCGGTGAACCAGATATGACAGAGTGGCGGGGGTGGGTGGCTGCTGACCGGAGCAAGAAACAACGGTTGTGATCGTAGCGAACACTGGGCGCTCACAGGATTCCCCCGCTGTCCAGAAGTAGGGTGTTCCCGTTCAGTGTGCTTGGGTAGATTATTCCTGGGGCCTAGGAATGCTCGAAAATTATTTCCATATAAGTTAATAGTAATAGTGTGCCCAGCCCCCAAAATAAATCAGAGTAGAGGAGACATGTGCATGGAGAGGCTTAGCCTTGCCTGGGCCTCACTTTGTATTAAAGGGACACGGAGCCATTAGCCTGAGGTCACGCGGATGAGGCAGAATGGGGGCTGGACTCCGGGGGCTGGACTCCTCACTGTCATCCTCTAGTGCTTCCTTTGGAGGGCGAGGGCCAGGGGAGTGGCTGGGGAGCCCTGGGGCTCTAGTAACAAGAGTTTTCTTTCCTAGGCAAGCCTGGTGGCCAACAGACAAGGGAGCGCTCCAGGCAGCAATGTGTCTGCACAGACCCCAACCCCGGCATCCTCGGTGAGTGAGACAGGGCCGTGGCAGGCGGAGCCCACAGCTGGGACCAGCCCCTTCTCCCTTGCCCGGAATGCTCATGGCGGTGCCTCCTTAGCCATATAGAATCGTGGCTGGAATCTAATCCTCTTGCCCTTAACTTTAATCACCCCAGCGTCGAGGCTTCCTGTTCCTCACTTCATTCTTTCCCCATAGCACCTCCCTGCAGCTTTGCACACAGGCCGGAGACAGGCAGCGCTGGTGGACACTCCGAGCCCCAAGACCATAGAGGGTCCTAAAGGAAGCTGAATCCAGCAAGGGACAGAGACGGGGGAAGAAAGAGATGGGTGAGGGGGCACAGCGTTAACCAACAGAGCTCCCCGTTTCCTACTGCGCCGTGTCTCTCACAGATCAACCTGGCGGCCTCCCCTGCGGCGGCGCAGCTCATCAACCGGGCTCAGAGCGTCAACTCAGCCACAGCCTCGGGCATCGCCCAGCAGGCTGTGCTCTTGGGCAACACGTCGTCTCCGGCCCTGACTGCAAGCCAAGCCCAGATGTACCTGAGGGCACAGATGGTGAGTCCCCAGCCGGGCTGCCGCTCAGGTGGAGCAGGACAGAGGTGGAGAAGCAGGAGCTGGGGGACCAGAGGGGCGCCGGGGTTAGAGAAGGGTGGGGAGAGGCACGAGGGGCCAATACAAGGAAGGGGTGATGACGGGGACCTGGAAGACTAAGTGGGAACCTTGGTAAATGTTCACTAACTCAAGGACAGGCGGGATTCCAGGCTGAAATAGAGAAAGATGCCCTTGATGCCTCCTTTCCTGCCCTAGTTGTCCTCTTCTTATCAGAAAACACTCTCCCAAATTAATTCGAGTAGATGCAGAGTCTGTGCCCAGATGGCCAGCATACTCAGAGACCCGAGATAGGGGGACCACAGGCATTTACACCCCCAGAAATGGGCTCTCACCGCTGCGGTGGCCCACACAGAGACGCCTCCGCTAGATCCAGGGTGCATCCACGCAGGGGGTGAAGGCGGCGGCCAGCTTTGGGACATGCTGCTGCCTCCGCTGCTCCCCAGCTGGGCCCCCTGTCTAAACATGGTCGCCCTGTCACCCGTGACTCTCGTGGCCTGTGGGCACATGTGCCCTAGAGAGCACGCCCAGAAGTGATCTTTTACACCCGTCCCGATGAGGTGCAAGGCCCTTGGAGACCTGACAGGCTCCTCAGTCTAGAAGAACTAAGGGAACCCGGGAGAACAACAGCCTGCCCCCAGGAGACCACAGCCCAGCTCTGCGCTGGGCCCAAGTCCCCGCCTCATGGCTCCGGTTCTGAAGATTTCCCCCCTGCAGCTCCTTGACACACTGTCCTGAAGACAGCCAGCTGGACGTGGGGAGCTTTCGTGGGCTTGCTCCGGCCCTCCTGTTCTTGCCTCGAGCTTACTGTTTGAGGTGCGCCCCGTCACCTGGGCATGTCTTCTTAGACACACAGTAGGGAGTAGCTCTCGCTCCCCTAGGAGCTGACAGCCGCCCCCCCCCACCCCCCGAGACACCATCCAGCCTGCCTCAGCCCTGGGCCTCTCACTCCCTAGTGGATGCAGCTATCCCTCCTGGAATCCTAAAGCCCGTCTGCTCCTCCCTGACCAGGGCCCACAGGCACAGAGGCACAGTTGGGGCGCGTGGGTTCTGGGGCCACCTGCTGCTGGGCGCCGAGCTAGGCCGGTGGGGGTGTGAGGGTCAGGTGGACACCCGTGAGGAGGACAGCCGCAAGCCCCACACTCGGCACTCCACTTCCTCTGTGACTGTGGTCTCTGCGTCTTCCCCATGCCCGTCCGAACTTGGCTAGCACGTGACCAGAAGAAGACATCCAATCTGATCCCTTCTGGAGGAGAGTCCTGGTCTGACCCATCCGGGGCTCAGGAATAGATTGGGCCTGCCAGATGTTCTCGAGTGTCCAGCCCAGCCCAAGGTCCCTGCTCCCTAGGATACTGGAGTGGCTTCAGGGGGTCCTGGTGACGTCGGTCCCCTCTGAGATGAGCTCCTCACAGAGGCTTCTGCAGTGACCCAGCTTGGACACAGCCCCCTGGGGTCACCCCCACCACCCCTCTCCTGCCTGGCCAGATGATGCTGCAAGCTCTTGAGATTTTCAGGTGGTGGTGCTTGCACGCCTTCCCTTTCTGGCCTCCCAGTTGCCCCATGTCTGCTCCCTGGCTAAAGCATCCTGTCCTGTGGCTGAGCCCACATTGGGCAGGTAAAAGGCGCCTCGTTTCCTGTGATTCCAGGCCCAGCCAGGTAACCTGGTGCAGGTAGCTAGGAGCCTAGGCGGCACTGTTCCTTTGTCCCCTCAGCTCATCTTCACGCCCACGGCCACCGTCGCTACCGTGCAGCCTGAGCTCGGCACTGGCTCCCCCGCCCGGCCCCCCACCCCCGCCCAGGTGAGGATTCCATGCTTGTGGGAGGGCAGGGGGGTGGGCACCCCTGCACAGGGGTACTGATACTGGGTATGGGCATGAGCCCTGGAGGACCATGGAATCATTGCAAAGGCTGGGCTCTTCTAGGAAAGCGAGTGGGTGACTGGGCAGCCTAATGCCCCAGACTTGCTCCTTAATCCCCCATGAAATCACAGCTGCTCTTGACTCTGGGTTGGGAGCAGCATGCCAAGGTGTGATCACCAGTAATGGGTGGTCGCTGCTTCCTTGCTCTCCCCACCCTTAAGTTCTATGGTGGTTTTTGCCTTGTAAGTGGAAAACCCCACTCTGGTTAGGCATGAAGAGTTGCATGGAAGAGGGAACAGAGATGAGTCCTGGGTCCCTGCCTTCTGCTGAGAACACAGAAATCTTCTGTTGTGACTGCAAAGATTCTGTGGGCAGCAGGGGCGAGGAGCAACCTCCCACTCCCCTGTCCCCAGCTACAGAGTGGGGACCCGTGGGGAGAGCATGATGTTAGCTGTGAGTCTGCACCGCCTCTGCGTGTCCAGCAGAGGGCGCTAGGGACCAGGTTGAATACGCTTGCTCATCTTGTGGAAGCCTAACTCTGAAGACAAAACAATCCTTTATCTGGTGGCCTTGCGGGTCAACTGACTGACCCTTTTGCCCTGGCCTTTTCCAGGGTGGCAGACCCATGCCCCACTGTAACTGGAAGCTCTTTCTAACCTGAGAGTCTGGGGGAGGAGGGAAGGAGTCAGAGTCCCTGGCCTCCCTGCCTGGGCCTGCCCCAGCCTGGGCCTTCATCCCTGCTCAGAATTCAATTTCTTCTCCTAATGAATTAATTACCAGCTCTCTCTCTTGTCCCCTTTAGAAGATCTGCCTGCTCCTGGCTCCTCTTTCAGCCCTTAACTCATTCTCTCTCTATTTCTCCCTGATTTTACAACCTCCCGTCCTGTTCAGCCATTCCTGGCTCCATCCCTAACTCTTTCCCTATCTTAGTTATGTTGTGGGGTGGCACCTACCTGCATTCTCTGGACTCCCATAGACCCCTCTTTTCCAGGTACAGAACTTGACCCTACGAACACAGCAGACACCAGCGGCGGCAGCCTCGGGCCCTCCCCCCACTCAGCCTGTCCTGCCCAGCTTGGCCCTGAAACCCACACCAGGCAGTAGCCAGCCTCTGCCTGCCCCGTCACAGGGCAGAAACACTGCTCAGGGTTCCCCCGCAGGTGCCAAGCCTGGCATGACCGACAGTGTGGCGGAGCCACTCAAGAAAGGAGATGGCAGCAGCAGTGTGCCAGGGAGCATGGAGGGCCGGGCTGGGCTCAGCCGGTTGGTGCCCACCGTGGCCGCCCACCCCCTCATTGCACCAGGTAAGGGCTCCAGAAGGAAGGACTCCTGTCATAGGGGAAACTCTCGAGCTCTCCTTTTTTCCCACCAGCCCCCGTGTATGTGTCTCTCTGCCTTTTCCAGTCTGGAGAAGTTCATCAGCTCCTGCTTCAATTTCCTGCTTCTAGTCTTGCTTTAAAGAAGCAGCCCCATCAGTGGGACTAAGTGGGTCCTGCATCCCAGTGGGCACAGCGGTGGCCCTGAGTACCTGGTCGCTGTTCTCCACCTTGGATGCAGGCGGACTGGACACGGCACTATTGAAATTCTCGGAGTCCCAGAGGCTTGTAAGGCCACAGGGACGGGGGAGGTGGGATGTTGGTTTTCTCATCATTCAACAACACCTGTTGACCAGTATTTGCTAGTTGTATTGCCAGTTCTTGGTATGCAAAGATCAGTAAGTCTTGGGCCCTGCCCTCGGGGTCTCAGGAGCCGCAGGTACAGTGCAGCAGAGTGTGATAATGGCGCTGTGATAAATGTGGGCTCTGAGCCCTGTGGGAGTGCAGAGACGCTCTCTAGCCTTGGGGGAAAGACCGAGAAAGGCTTGCCTGTGCAGGTGGCACGTGAGAAAAAAATCTACTAGATTAAAGAAAGATTATCCAGCAGATTTCCTAGCAAAACAAGTTCTGTGCGGAGGATGAATCCGTGTTCCCTGGGGCTAGACGCCTTGCCCTGCTGCTGAAACTCTCCCAGCACTGCCTGTTGTAACCCATCTTAAACAAAAACATCTGCCAAGAGCTTTAGAAGCCAGGCCTGCCAACCTGAAGACCAAGCTGTTCTACCATAGGAATAAACTTAGTGGGGACCACAGAGCTTTGCAGGGAAGATAATCACACCCTGATCACCTCCCTCCCCCCTCCCCCAGACAACCACGAGCCCCCTGGCCTCATCCCAGCCGGTTCACCACCCAGTCTACCCTGCAGTGTTTTCCCCTTGAGAACCTATCTAGGCTTGGGACTAGGTGAGCTAGGCGGTCAAAATAGGATTCTTTACCTAAAGGAGTATGCAGTCGAGGGAGCCAGATACACATCAGGAAATCCAGTCAGTGCCCTACATTCTGCTCTAGCAGTAAGTGTGAAGTAAGTGTGGCCAGCGATGGTGGCTCAGGGCCAGACAGGATGGGTCAGAGACAGGGTCAGGATGAGTCAGAGGAAATGGCCAGTGAATCTCAAAGCATGAGTAGTTTCCCCAATGAAGGAGTGGGGGAGGTCGTGAGACAAGTCAGGGGTTGGGACAGCCAGTGGGAAAGGATCCGAGGTGAAATCATTTACTCACCTTTTTGGGGTTTCGAGGACAAAGGCTGTCTTTGTTCCGGTGGGCACTACTGAGCTGAGAGGAACCTCCCTGTGGGGCCTCACTGCCCTACACTTCTAGATGTTTCTCACTCTCAGGCATTGCCTTCTTCAAAGATTAGTCCAGCCTCTTCCTCTTATGGAAAAGAAAACTGAGACTCAGAAGGTTGAAGACTGAGGGGTCTTACGTTGAGTGGACTAGAGCTAGGACCCCAAATTAGCATTTCTTCTACCTTCTCATTCAACCTTACAAACCCTAGAAGAGTGTCAGGGATTCAGGGTTTCTTGAGAGCCTCATTCCAGCCCAGCCCAAAATGTAACCTCCCTCCATCTAAGGCAGCCTCCCAGATTCCAGGAGGCCTTCAAGAGAAAGTCCAGTTCTCAGATTCTCCCTAAAGCTGCTAAGTCACCCTGGGGTCTTGAGAAACCTGATCAGAGAGGGAACCAGCACTGAGCAAACATCTGTTGCCTCCCTGAAAGCAAACGGGGCATTTTCATGCATGTCGGGACACAAAGGGAATCCACATCCCTCTGGGTCCTTCTAGGCTGGCAAATAACCAAACGCGCATCACACAGATTGACAAGAGCCATGGAGTAGTTTAATTATAACATGTGGCTTCCTGCGGACATGGGGGAGACCCAGCCTGACTAAGTGGCTCACCACATGGCTTCAGACACCATCTTAAATAGCACAGCTAAGACAGGTTGGGGGGCATTTGCTGGTGAATCTGCCTTCTCCCAGGGTCTTCCTGGACTAGATCCCTATGGAGAGAAATTTAGATATAAACATCAAAAACACCCAGCCTGCGGAGCTTCTCCCATGAGATAGACACCTTGCCAAAGACATGTTTGGGATGGCAGAATTTCGCTCCCCTACATGCACAGCACTTTTTTCACCTTTGAAAGAAACCTATAAAGCAGGTATTTATATCCCCTTTACAGATGAGAAAACTGAAGCTCAGGAAGGTTGCCCAGTAACTTACTATATGTATCACTCAAGGCCACGCAAGTCATAAGGAACACTCAGGACTAATTCCATGTCTGCTGAGTCAGATCCTGTGTCCTTAATCATCAAGAACCCTCTGGGCTATCAGAGTAATGGGGGGTGTCCTAGGCTTTTCCCATTCCTGACCCAAAGCTCAAAGATCCTGCTGGTTCTGGGATTTACGGAGTCCAGTGGAGGGCGCTCCTCTGTTGAGCCTGGGAAAGCGAATGCCCGGGGAGGACAAGCCTGAGCCCCAGGTGTGGCTCCATGCAGGACAGAGCCCCTTGCTTCTACGGGACTTGCCGTGCCGTGGCCGTGAGCCAGGCCAGGCCACAAAGGCCCTCTGACCAGAGACAAATCAGTGGGCTTTGCGTTGTCCCTGCCTCTGCTGTCCCCTCCTGCTCCTCCTCCTCTCTTCTCTCACCCCTTCTTCTGTAAGCCCTTCTTTTCCACTTTCTCACCCCACCTCCCCCTTGGAAGGCAGCAGGAGGGTCAGGATGCTACAGATCTTAGGGCAAACAAACAAGACTGAAGTAAACCTTACGACCTAAGGGCTGGCGTGTGTGTGTGTGTGTGTGTGTGTGTGAGTGTGTGTGTGTGTGTGTGTGTGTGTGTGCGCGCGTGCACACGCTCGAGAGCACACTAGTAGGAGGGAGGGTGCAGGGAGTTTTTCGTCTGTCCTTGGAGCATTTGGAGCGGGCTGGCAGGCTGTCCCCAGGGAAAGTAACCAGTGGAGACTTGTGGCGCGGGGGCACGGGTGGAATGTGTTCTCCTGGGGGCTGTTTCCTCCCAGAGCAGGCCAATGCTAGTCCCAGCTGGGACTGCTCCCACTGACAGCTGTTTGGGGGCAAGGCCCCTCCCCCATGGCAAGCTCCCTGCTGTTCCTGCTCCTGTCACCTTGGCAACGGGCTTCTTTAGGCTCTGCAAATAGAAAAGGTCCCTTTTACCCTGAAAAAGGGTGGGCTGGTAGGTGGGGGGAGGGGAGTAAGGGGCGGAGAGCAGAACCTAAGAGGTGGGGCTTCTCAGTGGGGAGAGGACTGGACCACAGGGCTGAGGAGGGGCGGGCAGTGAGGGCCCTGGGCCTGGCCTCCGGGAAGCTGAGTCCAAAGGGAGCCAGGCCGCAGGTCCCCATGGGAGGCTTAGCCCTTGGAATACTGGTTCTAGTGGATAAACTCGAGGCCTTGGGTGCACACTCAGGCACAAAGGTGAGGAGAGAGCTGCTGGCCAGGAGGGAGGTGCTGTGATGGAACAGAACTGTGGAGCCTTTGAAACCCTGGGCCCTTTCACAGGCCCGTGCTCCAGGGGCCAGGTCTTCGCTCTGTCTCCTTATCCCTCCTCAGGCCTGGGGAGGAGAGAAGATTCCGTGGGGAAGGCCTGCCACACAGCGGCTTTGTTTTGTCACAGAGGGGCTTTGTGTCAGGGAGCAGTGGTTTCTGGCTGTGGTAGGCCGCACTGCACCATGCCTGCGGACTCTGGACTCTTGGGTTCCATTATTTCCCTCCCAAAGCAGCTGCCAAACTACGGGGTGGACACATTTTTACTTAGAGAATCCAGTGAAAGCTACACATACAGGTGGCCCGTTGTCTGCCTGGAACCAAAGCAGCTTTGATGTAAAAATCATGCAACTGGCCATGAAGGTCATTTCAACTCTCACTGTAGGGCCCGTTTTCAATCATGGAGAACCTCCTTATTAGGAAAAAATATTCCAGAGGGTACTAGTGGAGGTGGGTGTGTGTGTGTGTGTGTGTGTGTGTGTGAGTGAGAGAGAGAGACAGACAGACAGACAGAGGACAGAGAGACGGAGACAGTTTACTGTGATACACACAGGACTTTGGAAATGTTTCCTATTCCTTCTTTCCTGAAATTTATTACCCTAGGCCCCTATTACATTACTTCCATGGTTCCTGCCAGCTAGTAATAATAATAATAGTAATTACTGCCAGCTAATGAACACCCATGTTCCAGGTACGGTACTAACTGCCTTACCTACCTCCGTATCTCATTTAATCCTAGCAATGATTATTCCATTTCTCAAATGGAGGAGATAGGATGGCGCAGAAAAAAATCATTAACTGTCATCCCTGAAGGGTTTTTCTCTGTTTCTTTAATTGTTTAGTTCAGCTCAACAAATACTCATTTAGCACCTATTATGTGCCAGACATAATGCTAACCATATGGGAGTTACCCAGATGAACAAGAGTTTAAATTGTAATAGGGGTGGTGGAAATTTGGAGTTGTGCCTTGAAAAATGAGTAGGTTTCAAGAACAGAACAGAAGGAGGATTATTTCAGCTGGCACTGGGGTGCACCCAGGCCCTGTGAGCGTGTGTGAGTGTTTGAGTGTGTATGTGCATGTATGCACACGTGGCCATCTGTGCTGGAGGTGGGCGCTGCTCCTCCTTCCTTTCCCCTAGCGCCACTGCCGTCAGCTGTGGACTCCCCAAAGATTCAGCTCCCTCTCCCTTGGATTTTGCTCCAGCACTCACCCCTAATTGAGCTTGTCTGTGCTTGCCTTGCAGACACCCCCGTCTGTCGGCAGGTGACTTGTCAATATGCATTCACCCAGTCCCTCGTTTCCACAGGTTTCCAACTGTGTGTAGGATTTTCCCACTTGGGTATCACCCCCTGAACATTTTTAAATTTTAGAGAGTTCATAAACAAGCAAAACCCCAGGGTCGCCCTCTTTGGCCAGGTCCTGACTGCTGCCCTCAGTCGTGAGGTCCTCCTGTACCCCAGGCTCACTATCTCAGGGCAATTTTTATTTCCTTCTCCTTCACCAGGGGCCAGCGCGTTCCCATGGGAAAGGCACAGGCTCCAAGCTAGACGTGGTTTCAGACCCCATCTTCATCACTTACTAGTTTTATGACCATCATCAAGTTACTTAATCTCTGTAAACCTCAATTTCCTCATCTATAAAACAAAGATGATTATGTTTACCACAGGCTGTAAAGATGAATGAGATGGCCAGAAAGAGCAGGCTTGCGATGGGGATGAGCCCCTTCCCGCCTTATTCCCACCCTCCAGCCCGCCCAGCTCATAACCGGTTCTAAGGATACTTCCTCTTTGCTCCCTGCTTTGCCCGAGACTTGCTGCCTGGAGGAGGCTTCACAGGGGGCCAGGATGTTCCCCTCACAGCTTCTAGAATCATCCTCCTCAGAGACACTCTCATTTAGAAACGTTCACTGTCTCGATTTCCCAGTTGCAGCACCTAGTCTTTGGGAGGGGCTCCTGGAGCAGCACCGCAAGGGCTTCTGCTGGACCCACCCCACTTCCGGGCCTCCCCACCCACCATTGGCCAGTGAACCACACCAATTGCTCGTGGCTTCCTCACACAGATGCTCTGCCTCTCTCCTACAACCACCCCTTTGTGACTTACTTGGTCCTTCACGTACCTCTGTCTCCCCACCTTCTGGTGTAACCTCTGGTCTTGTTCTCCCTCCGAGATTACCTCAGAAGTTCCCAACAACCTCCAGCTAATACTCTGAGACTTGCTATTTTGATTTGTGCTTGCTGACTTGTGCTTGCTGACTTCACTCCACCATCAGCATTTCTGAGCATTTGCTGCATGTAGGGCACCATGCCCCCTATGTCAAATGAAGTCATTTTCCCCTAGCCTACTGCATCAGAGAGTCACTCAGAAACTACTCCTGCTTCTTACTTGTGCAGGGAGGGCACTGCCCATTTGCTGCATTGGCTTCCTGTTCAAAATAAATGAAATGCAACTTGTAAACCTGCTTTGAGAACTTCAAAGCAACATAAAAGAAACAGGTGATATTTGGGGAATAACTACCATTTGCTGAGCATCTCTGATATATGAGCAAAGTCAGGGAGCCCCTTTGTGGCTTAAACATAATAGTCTCCTTGATACTAGCAAGTGCTCTCTGTGGTATCGATCACCTTTTACATAATAGGAAATCAAGATACAGAGAGGTTAAGCAATTTGTTTAAGTTTGTACAGCCTATAGGTGGCAGAACCAAGGCTGAAACCCAGATATGTCTGACTCTAAAGCCCTTGCCTGTATCAAGATGATGCTTCAAAGCAATGTTATGATAATATGTGAGAACAACTTTGATTTTAATAACTCAGTTTTTAAATAAACATCAACTTAAAATGAATGACCTAGAAGACTAACGTGCATATGGTAAAATGACTGCTTTCAAATTCCAAGACCCCAGTCTCATACTGTAATTTGACTACTCTAAAATGATAAACAATTCTCACTTGCTAAACAAATAAACTAAAACCTATTCCTTTACCCCCTTATGCTATACTCCCATCCCATCTTCCAAGACTGAGGTAGGGGCAGAGATGGAGAAACCAGTTCCCTTTTAATACTCCCAGTTGCCTTATAAGGAATCCTGGTCACAGAAGCTACTTGGTGTTTTTTCCAGATGGCTGCTGAGCAAGCTGAGAAGCATTAAAACAATTAGATCCCCATAGGATGGCGCTGGCTGCCGCTGGTGACCTCATTGTCACAACCTAGTTAGTATCCCCTCCCAGGGAGGCTTCCCTTAGCTCTGCTCCCTCTCAGACTCCCAGCCCTCAACCTGGAGACACTGCAGCACAGGAAAGCCATGTGGCCATCACTTTAGGATGCTCCCTGGATGCACTGGGGTACCTTCTCCCTGGGGGGCTATTCCTTTGATGACCTTCCTGATTTTGATCATGGTGAACTTCTTCCTTCCTCTGGGAAGCCTCCCCTGCTCCCCTTCCCAAGCTGAGTCAACTCCTTTCCTACATTCTCAAGATTCTGTGCTTACCTCCTATAGCAAGTTTGCTAAGAGGGTCTATTTACCATCTGTCTCTTATCAGGCTGACATCTATTCTAGGGGCCATGTTTTTGTAGTTTAGTATGCTTTTAGACCAAGTATAGTGTGTGGTCTGCAGTAGGTGCCTAGCAATGTGCGCTGAGCGAATGGAAATTATTTCTTCACCCAACGTGTCCACCTTGAAGAAGAGTGGTTAGTAAACAGTGATGCCGTTCCTCTCACCAGCACCCTCCTCTTGCCCGTAGGCCAGAGAATGCCAAACTCTATCAATTAGAGCAGGCTCCTAGGAAATTAAGCATATAAACAGGCTTGCAGCCAATGCTTAAACTTCATAAACTTTGGGTTCAAGCGTCCCTGCTTTCTGGGACAGTGAGCAGTTCTTGAAGTCTTGCGATCCATTGTGGATACATTCTGGGAGCAGATGTGGTAAAAGGGGCGGGTCAGTAATCCCTCACACTCAGCTCTCCCGCCTAGGGGACTTTCATCCTTCTTTTGCTGACAGCCAACTGGCTACGAAGCCTTGAATTGGTCTCTTCCAAGGCTGTTCAAGGTTGGAGCACCAGGCAGGACAACGAGCACTGCCTTTGAGCTAGGTCCTAATTTGTGGAGGCCCTGGACTTGCCTCTCACCTGCCCCGTAACAAAGAGGGCTGATAGGGCCTCCAAAGCTGTGGCTGAGGGCCTATGCAATCAATCCCTTCTTCCTAAGAAGCAATGAACTTTCTAGCCACAGGGGACAAGAGAGTCAAAATGGGTGCCGGGGAGAAACGAAGCTACTAGACACTAGGTAAAAATAAGAAAGGTCCAGAGAGATTTCTGTGCAGTTTATTCCATAAACTGACAGGCCCCCTCCTAGCAGGAGGGAAGAAGAACACAGCCTCTTCTGCTGTCGTGGCTTCAGCAGAAAATAGCCTTCTTCAAGACCCAACCTGAGCGGCAGGAGAATTCATCCATCTTAGACATTCACTAAGCATCTGCAAACACATCGATATTATGTGGGACAATGTGGAAGATAAAAGAAAGATAAAAATCTTCCAGTTGAATTAAAGCTCATCTTTTAAGTTTTTAAAAAAAGCAAAAGAAACAGACATGTCTGATTCATAAAGCCTAGTCTAGTTCAGTAGTCTAGTTAGATAGGAAATGTCCTACTTCATTTAATCTGAAACACTACTGATTGTAAGAGGCACCCTTATTTTATTGTCTCTAAGAAAATAGCACATTGCCAGTTAAACTGACACCATCAACTGCATTTCAAAAGATGTTAAAATGCCAGGAGCGGGGAAGGAGTGAGAATCAATGAAATACATAAGATAGCACGTGTGAACTCACACACGAGTTGAACAACAACGACAACAAAAAGCATTCAGGAATTCAGAGAGAGCAGGAGTTGGGCTGGGCCCAAAGAGATTCAAGCCTCTGAAAGAGAGGCCCAAAGAGATTCAAGCCTTGGCTCACTGAAGCAGAAGGAGGGCATTCCAGAAAATGGACGCGCTGAAATTGAAGCCAACAAGGCATGGAGGGATCTGATCTATTATGGATGAGTCGCGAAGTTAAGGTGGGCTGAAGGTTAGTGCAGGAAGTGAGCTGGAGCTAGACAGGCACAGAATCATCAGGAAACCAGGGTGTTGGTAAAACAGAATGGTCTGGGGTCACCCCCATCTCCTTCATGTCCTCACTCTGAAGAGGAAACATCTTCGGACATGGGACAAACATGCTGGAGTCCCACCAAGTTGTCACCCACCCATCAATACTGACTGTACATCAACTAAATGTAAGGTCCATTGGAGGAAACGTGAACCAAGTTTTACTTACTAAGGGAGATCAGCGCTTGACCATTACCCCAGCTATAAAGATGATGACACGGGAGTAGTGGTCACATAACTTGCCCAGTGTCACACTGCTGGTAAGTGGCAAAGCTGGAATTCAAATGCAAGCATCTTGATCTTAGAGCCCACAGTGCCCTGCTAGACACGTCACATCTCTGGGGACCAGGGCGAAGCAGAGAAGTCTTGGTGTAGCTCAGAGAAGGGATTTGTCTGCTGGAAGGGCAGGAAAGCAGGACTGGGATTTGACTTGTGGTGCTCTAGACAGTAGGAGGCAAGGCATAAACCCCAATCAGTAAAGACTGCTTGGATCTAAGAAATAAAAATTACAAGGTTAGTTTAAGTTGTCAAGAGATCTTGAGCGGCAGGGGCTTTAGACACTGCAAAGGCCAGTCCCTGGTGGCTTTTAATCAGGATCGGCTCACTAGGAAGATTAATTTGCAATCTGTAAGATGGATTATAGGGAGAAGAAGCTGGGATCAGAAAGACCAGTAGGAAAGTTCCTGCAATACTTTAACTAAAAGGACTTTTGACCCAGCATAATGGTGGAATTAAATCATGCTCTTGGCTTTGCATTAACCTCAAAAGGTGAAGGATATACACTCCTCCTCCAGATACCTTGGGGTCTTTGATCTGTGAACTTCGTCTAAGCCTTCATGAGCTTTGTTTTCAGCCTAGGTTTATACTAACATCATCTGTTCTAGAACAGTCTTTGATATTCCGCAGTGGCACAGAGTGGGGGAGGGAGCGCGCTAGGAAGGGGACCCCGGGGGTAAAGGGCCAGAGGACAGCAGTTGCCTTTGCCAATGTGGTCAACAAACGTGTGTTATCCCCAATGCTGCGTTTAATGTGCTATAGATTTAATGCCTTTTTCCTCGCTAACCTTTCCTCCCACCTTATAAACCCAGAATCTTAAACTGTCTTCCTGTGGCAGACGCCCTCGATTATAGAGCTGAAAGAGACAGGTTGTCACCTCTCCCAAACTTCTGGTTTCCCAGATAAAGCCCCGAAACCCTGAGACAGAAAAGGCTCTGTCCAGGCCACTCGTGTCTCAGCAAGGAGTGGGATGTGCCCTTGGGCCGCACAGTTCCCGACCTGCACCGTCACCAGCTCTCATCTCAGATGAGTGCCGCTATGGCAACTCTGTTCCCGGGGCAGGAATTTACGATTTTGTGTTGCAGGAGAAAAAGTCCTGCCTGAGTTTTCAGCAACGATGCCCGTTGTCCTGCAGGTTTCAGCCACTGGAGCCTACTGGGGACCTCCTGCACCTCTCAGGCACCTTAGCATCAGCCATCTCGAACATTCCTGACTGTTAACGTTGGCCTGATTAACAATCCTTGCCTGATGTTTATTTTAAGCTATTCAGTGTGGCATCAGAAGACAAGGCTTAGGCTGTCTCAGGAGTCATTTATAATCCCTGTATGTTGGCTGGCAATTTCCATCCAGACACTCCTCCGTCACCTCAAACACGACACATTCCTCTTGAAACCACACTGCCATCCGATGTCCCCTCCCCACTGGTCACTGACACTCAGTCTGTCGTTCGGGGCCATCCTTATTTCCTGGGTTTCCACCTGCCAGAGTCAGCCACCAAGGACCCCAGTGTTTCTCCTTGTCTCTTCTCATTTCTGTTCTTTCCATTCCTGCTGGTTTCTCCACATGGAGCTGCGCTGACAGGGTTGAAAACTCGTGTGTAAATAGTCAAAGTTCAAGAAAGAAGGAATTTCCCTAACTTGGTTTGAAATCTGCCTACTTTGCACCTGTAACCATTAGAGGGTGCTTATTAAATGTTAGCCGGGGACCCACAGTTTGCCTTACTCCATGCTGACAGGGAGCCTTTGTGCAAACCCAGAGCGTAGCTCTGCCTGCCCTCCGGCTGCTTTTAGGCAAAACAGATTCAGCTGATCTGCCCTCACACTAAATAGCCTGGAGGGCCTTAGACAGTGAGGGCCTGAGGACCATCTGTCTCTGAGCTGAATTTCCTGAATCCCTACTGCATGGGGCTCCGAGGGATAGCCCTCTGCTCATGTTTCCACACAGAAAGAGGGCAAGAAAGGGAGAAATTGGGGCCATATAAATGACCAGGCCAGGCTCTAGGAGAAAGATGAAAGCAAGAGGGACTGAACTTGGGAAGCCTTCCTGATGTGGCTGCGGGTGGGGCACGCTTGATGTAGTGGAAGAGGAGGTCAGGCCATGCTCCTGACCTAGTCTTTCCCTTTCAGCGTATGCTCAACTCCAGCCACCCCAGCTCCTCTCACAGCCATCCTCAAAGCACCTGCAGCCTCAGTTTGTGATCCAACAGCAACCACAGCAGCCACAGGCACCGCCGCCACTCCAGCAATCACGGCCTGCACCCCAAGCCCAGGCCCACCCCCAGCTGCCCTCAGTCCCTCCAGGCTTGGCCCTGCAGCCCAGCTCTGAAGCCCATGCCATGCCGCTGGGCCCAGTTACATCTGCCCTGCCTCTCCAGTGCCCCACTGCCAATCTGCACAAGCCTGGCAGCTCTCAGCAGTGTCACCCTCCCACACCAGACACCGGGCCTCACAATGGCTATCCCGAGGGCCTGTCCCACGCCCCGCAGCGCAGGTTCCAGCATGCCTCAGCTGTCATCTTACAACTGCAGCCTGCTTCCCCAGTGGTGAGTAAGCCGGTCCCCAGATCCTGGGAACAAACGGAACGGGCACAGCTCGGGCAACTCCACAGCCCCATTTGGGAGTGTCTCTGGGTGGCTGAGTGTTGAAATCCTCCCTTGGGTATTATAAGAAACCTCTCCCTAATTTGGGGTTAGCTGAATCTTAAAGTCCTTGACAGCTACCCAAGCTCCATGGAAACAGGGAAAGCGTCCAAGAATGTAGAGGCAATTCGTGAGAAGGTCATCTCTGTCCTGTCCCTTAACAGCCCCAGCAGTGTGCCCCAGATGACTGGAAGGAAATGGTACCTGGCGAGACGAGTGTGCCTGAGCCTCGGTCTGGCCCATCACCACATCAGCAAGCCATCATCACTGCCATGCCTGGGGGCCTGCCTGTGCCCAAGAGCCCTAACATCCAGCAGTCCCCAGCTCACGGTATGAAGGGCAATGTGGCCCATGGGGGGTGGGAGGTGGGAGGTGGAGAAAGTCAGCCTTCCTTGCCATCCCCTGGCACATGTCACTCAGGCAGCTAGAACAGAGGGGTAAACTGCTGCAGCCTAAAGAGACAAAGAAGTTGGGTAGGTGGAAACAGAGGGGGAAAAGGGAAGATGAACCAAGGATTTTAAAAAAGCAGGGTGGGGACCCAGAAGATTGAAGAGTAAAGGATAAAGAAACAGATTTGGAATAACTAGCTCCCGACTCTGGAGCCTACATGTCACTACTGTCAACTTGAGGGTTCAGGCAGCCCTCCATTGTGCCTGCTCCCTGCTTGATTCATACAAGAGGAAGTTCTTGCCATGGGGAAATGCCTAGGCGGGGTTTGGCGGGGATTCAGAATGAGTGCAGTCATGGAGGGCATCGTTGAAGGAACTGTGCTCAGCCTGGGATCCTCATCTGTGTGTGCGAGTCCCCAGTGACCAGTGTCTTCTCCGAGACCTAGGTGTCAGGAGACGGCTGGGCCCCTCTGCCCCCACAGAGGGTCACTGCAGGGCCTCTGCCCTCTGCCCTCTCCCGCTCTGTGCCAGTGTGTGCCGCAGTGTCAGCCCAGATCTCAATAAGACTTGTGGCAGCGGGCTGCGGGCTGCTTACAGCTCAAGGAGCTTTCCAGTCGTGGACTTAGTGTGTGCTGGGAGTCTGGGTGGGAGAGCCCAGAGGAAAAGAGTTTGGAAACTGAAGAAGGAGAAATAGGAAAGGAAATACTTTGGGGGGAAATAAGGGGTGGGGGAAGATGATAACTTTGCGATAAGGATGGGGTCAAAGAAAGGGGGAAAAAATGGAGAAAAGAACATTTAAAAAATTAACACGGGTCACCCTTTCCCTTGGTTCATTTATAATGCTAAGGGGCTCACCATGTTTAAAAGCTCCCATCCCATTATGGAGTTGCTCTAATTATCAGGTTTTTCTTCATATTTAGTCAAAATCTGTCTGGAATTTCCACCACTGGTTGGGATTCCACCTTGTGGGCTGTAGCAGTGTCTGTACAGTTTCCTGTCCCTCCAATTAAAAGGAGAGACAACTCCAGGCTACATATCACCATATGTAGTGCCATGTCAAGCCCTCCCATGCCCACTGTTCTGGTCATTCTGTTCTAGCCACATTCGGCCTTCTCCTGAGTTCTCTACAGTGGGACCCCCAAAGTTAAGCACATTAATTCCAAATAAGAAGTGTCACTAATCCCCATAGGTTAGTGCCCGGATCTAACTTTCTGAGCCCCTCAAGGGGCAAAACTGCTTCCTGATTGGTGTGGTATGGGAGAGAGGAACTAAAATTTGTTAAACAGCTACTATGTGCACGTGCTCCTCTGAGTTCTCCTCTGCTCGCTGACAATCACCCCGAGAGAGCAGTGTCATTCTCCCCATTATTCAAAGGAGGAAATGAAAAGCCTGAAACATGGCTATGACAGGGCTGCATGTGACTCCAGCCCCAAGTGTAAGTCCTCTCCTTCCTTCACCAGGACGCTGGCCCCGGATTGACTCCTCTGACCCAGGGGAGGACATCCTGGGTACGCAGCACCCTGTCCCCTGAGTTCTAGTGGCTTGGTGGGTTTTCTATTTCTGTTTCTGAGGTTTCTTTCTACATGCTGTCATGTGAGTCTTCAGGTAACTGCTGTCGCCCCATTTCAGGCCTCCTTAGTCTCAATTTGTACAATTTATACTTTGAGCCAAAATATGATTACTTACGTCCATTAAATGTTATCTTGTGAATTTAACCATAGTTCCTCCTAGCCAGAAAATGGTAATAGTTAACAGCTAATATTTCCTGAGTCCTCTCTGCCGGGCTTTTCATGTATTTTCTCAATCCTAACAATAGCCCTCTGAAGGAAGAACTTTAATTATCCCCATTTTGAAGATCAGAAGATTGAGCCTGCGTGATGGGGAAGGAATGTTTACACCTGAATCTCATTATTCATTACCCCAAATCCGCTCAACTTTGCCACCTAAGTTAGCATGTTCTCTTTGTCTTTAACCAATTTGCCGATGGAAGTAGTGCCTAAAACCTGAGGTTGGCGATCATCAGCATGTCCTGCTCAAGTATTTGTTAGCCAGCCTTCCCTGCATGAACTGACATTAGCTTACCTTTCTCCATCTTGTCTGGAAGGCTCTCAAAAACCTCTCTCTGAAATCTAGTCAAGATGATAAGCACCTAATAAGCCTCCAGCGCCTGTGGTACCATCTCTTGCGAGAAGTATGCTTTGCAAAGTGGAAACAATTATCGATCACTTCAAGACTTAAGTAGTTATGCATTGTCTATATGCCTGCTTTGTGCAAAGCACAGCAGAGGTAACACCTCAAGAAATAAGAGGTATACCTTCCTCCAAGCAGCATAAGGCCTGCTGGAGAAGATTAAAATGGGATAAATACCATAGAAAAATTATAAGTAAGTGCTTTAAAAGTTAAGAGGAAAAAGTAACTACCAACTAAAGATTACCAGAATACATTTCAGGGTAGAAGTAGCAGTGCTCTAGAGCAGGGCTCGGCAAACAACACTGACAGAGCCACATCCATCTCATCCCAGTCTTTGTAGTCTACTAGCTAATATGGTTT